CTGCTGAGACCTCATCAGTGCTGAGTAAAGGAAGCTTCTCACCTCCCTGTGTTGTATACAAGCTTCCCATTAATACATCCAAGAATGCCACGTGTCCGCTTTTCCAGCAACATTGCATGTTTTACACCTACTCTGTGGGCCCCTGGGATCCACAGACCCTGTTCTTCTGTGCCACTGCCTACCCTGTTATCCCCCATTGTGCATCTGTGCTCAAGGTTTCCTTTCGAAGTGTTGCATTGTGCGCTTGTCTTCTTTGGATTTCATCCTGTTGATTTTTGAACTGTTCCTTCCATTTATCACAATCGTTCTGAAAGCAGGTCCTGCCCTTCCTTCAGTGCCTTTGTTACCCTTCTTAACTTGGTGTCATAAATAAACTGTTTTCCTGCATAGGGCTGACCTGGACAGGCTCAGGAAATGGGAGGATGAGAACCTGATGGTGTTTAAAACCAAAAAATGCAAGGTTCTCCACCTTGGGAGGAAAAACCTGCAGCATGCTTACAGGCTCGGCAGTGCTACGCTGGCTAGCACTATGGACAAAAGGGAATTGGAGGTCGTGATTGACCACAAGATGAACATGCGCCTTCAATGTGATGCTGCAGCTAGTAAAGCGAGCAAAACGCTGGCTTGCATCCATAGATGCTTCTCAAGCAATTCCCAGGACGTCATTCTCCCCTTGTACTCGGCCTTGGTGAGGCCGCAGCTGGAGTACTGTGTCCAGTTTTGGGCCCCACAATTCAAAAAGGATGTGGAGAAGCTTGAGAGAGTGCAGAGGAGAGCCACACACATGATCAGAGGTCAGGAAAACAGACCTTATGACTACAGGATGAGAGCTATGGGACTCTTCAGCCTGGAAAAGCGCAGGCTCAGGGGCGATCTGATGGCCATCTATAAGTTTATCAGGGGTGCTCACCAGGATTTGGGGGAACATTTGTTCACCAGAGCGCCCCAAGGGATGACAAGGTCGAACGGTTATAAACTACTGCAAGACTGTTTCAGTCTGGACATAAGGAAGAACTTCTTTACTGTCCGAGCCCTCAAGGTCTGGAATAGCCTGCCATCGGAGGTGGTTCAAGCACCTACTTTGAACGCCTTCAAGATAAACCTGGATGATTTTCTTGCTGGGATCCTATGACCCCAGCTGACTTCCTGCCCTTTGGGCAGGGGGCTGGACTAAATGATCTTCCAAGGTCCTTTCCAGTCCTAAAGTCTATGAAATCTATGCAATATGCCCTAAAATATAATACGCATCCTCTTTCTGAAAGGAAGCATGAAGAACAGAAGATCTTACCTTGGATAAGTAACCAAGTAGCAGCAGAGCCTGCTGGATGGAGACTGTGAACTGACCCCATGTGCTGGCTTGATATAGCATGCTAGGTCTGGCTGTGGACCAGCATGTGGGACCGTGTTATCTGGCCATGGGTCCAGAGATCTGATAGGGAGCAGTGGCAGTATTAATTTCAGTGGCTCTGAGACCCAAATTTCCAGACCCATGGGGATCTGTATTTTTTTTTTCACATTACGTGCCCTGCCCCCCCTTCCATCAGCTGGTTTTTAGGGGGGGAAAAAGTGCACGCTATATACAAGAAAATATGGTCTTATTTAGTCCAACATCCAAGTCTCTGATGTTGGGTAGGACTGGATCCAGAACAGACTCCTACAGGAGCCCTTGAGGTACGCTCTTAGTCTGAGTGATAACAAGCCACTGCTGTGGGGTTTTCGAGCTGCCAGGCACCCACTTCATGGTGCTTCCATCTAGACCGTTTCCCTAGTTGGTTTGAGACTCAACTGGGTTCATGTCCGAAGACTTGCTGAAAGCAAGATATATTATCTGTTGCTTCCCCTTATCATCCAGGCTAGTTAACCTGTCAAAGAAGAGAATTTGAATTGGTTTGGCACAATTTATTCATGACCTGTCCCCATCTCCTCCAGGTACTTATACATTCATTTAATATTGGCTCTAGTGTCTTTCCTGACATCAAAGTTGGACTGACTAGTCCAAAATCCCCAGGCCCCTGCTTTTCCTCTTTTGAAGACAGGAACTCTTTTTTCCAGCCCCTCGGGGGATCTCCACCATCCTTCAGGAATTCGCAGATAATCACTAATGGCTTCAGAGATCGCTAGCTCTGTAAGTGCTCTGGGATGAATTTCCTCCAGCCCTGCCAGCTCAAATACATCTAGCCTACTGTAGTCTCAGCTGTACTGCTTCCAGTTCAGGAAGTGAGATTGATTAGGGAATACATATTACTGGACCAGCTGTATAATTAGGAGAACTCTTGGGCACAAATGCCCTTCCTAGGGGTCTGGGAAAGAAGCAGATCCAGCCTAAAGCTAAATACCAGGTGGAACAATTGCTTTTGTTAAACCACATTATGATAATGAAAGTGGTCACTTAATACGGGGAAGGTGGCAGTCAGCCAGGAGAAGCTATCAGAAATAGTTACAGACCAAATAAGAAGAGTTGAAATAAATAAAACCAATTATGAAAAGGAATAAGACCGGTGCAGGAGACAGCCGTGGGAGCAGGCTGGCATGGTAGGTCTGCGGCGTAGGCGTGATGTTACTTGCATGGAGTGGTATCAAAATCTGGCCCTGCCATTTGATTTGATCCACAGCAGGAGGAATTTCTGGTGTTGTTCAGTACAAGTGTATACAATAATATCCATGGGAGTGCTGGAAAAGCTTTTAGTTTGACTCGTTTCTCTCTCTCTGGCTTCTGGCTTTGTAACGTTATCGTAAACATTTGTGTTTTCTCCTTCAGGAACCTCGGGAGTTTCCCTTGCCAGGGTGAACTGCTGGGACTGGCCTGGTGTCTGCGCGAAGCAGAATGTCACCCAATTCCCTGTTGTAAAGATCTATGAGAAGGGTGAGAGACCACTGACCTACAGCGGCATGCTAGGGACAGAAGATCTACTCAGGTTCATCATGCTGTGAGTGTCCAAAAGAGCCACGTCATTGCTGGGTCAGATCAGCACATCTGCTAGGAAGTGCTCTGAACGACTTTTTTGTCCTGAGAACGTAGATTTGTCTTCAGAGTACTGTATTTACTGACACACTCGGGCACCCCTTTCCCAAAAATTACCTCTCCAAAATTGGGTGTGTGTCTTAAGCAGGGAGCTGGTTTCTGAGCTGGAAACATGCAGGCACTGCAAGGGCTGCATAGGGAGCTGTAATGAATTCCTGGACTCTGCCCTTCCCTCCCTGCCCCTGGGATAGAGTGCAGTCCTCAGCTTATATTTAGTTTCAACGCTTCTGCAACTGCTGCTGAATTGGCAGGAGCTTTTGGTTGAGCAGCCAAAAGCTGCTGCCAACTTGGCACCAGCCATGAGAGGGTTAAAACTGTAGCCTTTGGTTGATCAGGATTCATCCATGGGGTCAGGATCCTCTGCAGTCAGTTTTTGGGCCTGACTCAGGAGGGGTGTGCTTTTTTTTTTTTTTTTCTTCTTCATTCTGCCTTCCTAGAACAAGGTGCACAGCTTATTTGGGAGTGTGTGGTATGTGGCATATGGTAATAGCTTCAGACCTAACCTTGGTTTTAATACCAAGCTCAGCGTCTAGTTCATAAAAGTGGTTTGGAAGTTGTCTTAACAATCTGTTGCTCTTTTGGCGATCAGAAAATCATTGTTCTTAAACTATATGTCTGTTCACAGTGTACGCCACTTATATGCATACCTTCTCAGAAGGCCACTGGGTTTGGCCTTCGCTTCCCACCCTGGTTGGTGCCTTTTGGTTCTTCTACCAAACAACCCAGGGTCTGTTCTTTTAATCTCGTGTCACCCCTACTGAAGGAGGAGGAAACACCCTGCCTGCTTCTGCTGTGTTGCTCTAGGAGCAGAGTGTCCTGCCCTTTGAAGCTGGCCTCAGTTGCAGCTGTGGAAGGATACTTAAGAGGGGAACTCCTTGCCGAGCTGTCGCCATATCACACCACCTCCGTTTTGGGACTGTTTACACCCAGCATGAAAGAAGGTAAGTGCTGTGCCTTGAGGGGGAAAGTACAGCAGGAAGAGGGGTTGAGCTCTCCTCTCCTTAGCCATAGCCAAAGACAGAGGGAGGATTTCTGCTGCTTGAAACTGGATCAGTAGTTCCTCCTTTCTTAGGTGGCTTACCCCAGTATCAGTCCATGACTGTGGTTATCTAGTGGCCCTGGTAGAGAGCAGGCCCCTGTAGCTGCACAAACACCAAGCAAGAGATGACCTCTGCTTTGAGGCTGAATAGACAGGACTGGGATGAAGAGACTTGCCTGAGGTCCTGCAGCAAGTCAGTAGCAGAGTTGAGACTAGACTTTGGCTCTCCTGAGTGCTTCAGCCACTGGGGCATGCTGCGTCTCTGGCCTGGTTCTCTGTGCTCTTCTTCAGCTCTGGTTTCTGCTCCAGATCTCCAGAGCCCACTCCTGCTCTTGGGCCCATGTAGAGCAGCCCTATCTTCTGTGAGGCTCTGCTTTAGCACAGAGGTCCATGTGCTTGGCTCCGTCTGCAGCATCAGGGCCCTGTTATGTCACCTCTTTTCTTGGGAGGTTTCCAAGTGAATTTTTCCCTCCGTTGGCTCTGTAGAGAACTGATCATTTGGGAATTCCACCCCTAATCAATCGTATGCTCCGTGCCTAACTGATCCCTCTCTCAAAACAGCCCCCACGGCTTAATTACAGCCCCCACAAGGGAGGCAGGCTGCCTGCAAAGGCGGGAGATGTGGGCACAGATGGACAGCAGCACTTCTGGCAGGGCACCGCTCGGTGAGGAGAGGAAGGATCCACACTACTGTCACACTGGGTGTGCTGCCAGTGACACAGGGATGGCTCTTTCCTTTAAGCCCTGTTTCCTGTGGTTCAGGGTCTTTGTAGGGCGCCGTTGAGTGTGCTGCTGTTCTCAGACTTTGTGGCTTGCAGTTTCATAGATTTCATAGACATCAGGGCTGGAAGGGACCTCGGAAGATCATCTAGTCCAGCCCCCTGCCCAAAGGGCAGGAAGTCAGCTGGGCTCATAGGATCCCAGCAAGATAAGCATCCAGTTTCGTCTTGAAGGTGTTCAATGAAGGCGCTTGAACCACCTCCGGTGGCAGGCTGTTCCAGACCTCGGGGGCTCGGACAGTAAAGAAATTCTTCCTTATGTCCAGCCTGAAACGGTCTTGTAGTAGTCTGTGACCATTCGACCTCGTCATCCCTTGGGGCGCTCTGGTGAACAAACGTTCCCCCAGATACTGGTGGTCACCCCTGATAAACTTGTAGGTGGCCATCAGATCACCCCTGAGCCTGCGCTTTTCCAGGCTAAAGAGCCCCAGGGCTCTCAGCCTGTCATCGTAGGGTCTGCTTCCCTGACCTCTGATCATGCAATGAGATCAAGAGGGCGCCCCTGAGGGTCACTTTTCACTGCCTTTTATCTGTCCTTGGCAGACTTTGGTGACTCCCCAGTTTTCAGGTTTGCCCAATCCAG